GCAGGTGCTGCTGCTGCTGCTGTAACTGGTCCTGCCGCAGGTGCTGCTGCTGCTGTAACTGGTCCTGCTGCTGCTGCTGCTGCTGCTGTAACTGTTCCTGCTGCAGGTGCTGCTGCTGCTGCTGTATCTGTTCCTGCCGCAGATGCTGCTGCTGCTGTAACTGTTCCTGCCGCAGGTGCTGCTGCTGCTGCTGTAACTGTTCCTGCTGCAGGTCCTGCTGCAGCTGCTGTGACTGGTCCTGCTGCAGGTGCTGCAGCTGCTGTGACTGGTCCTGCTGCAGGTGCTGCTGCTGCAGCTGCTGTGACTGTTCCTGCTGCAGGTGCTGCAGCTGCTGTGACTGGTTCTGCTGCAGCTGCTGCAGCTGCTGTGACTGGTTCTGCTGCAGGTGCTGCTGCTGCTGTAACTGTTCCTGGTGCAGGTGCTGCTGCTTCTGCTGCTGTAACTGGTTCTGCTGCAGGTCCTGCTGCTGCTGTAACTGGTCCTGCTGCAGGTGCTGCAGCTGCTGTAACTGTTCCTGCTGCAGGTCCTGCTGCTGCTGCTGCTGTAACTGTCCCTGCTGCAGGTCCTGCTGCTGCTGCTGTAACTGGTCCTGCTGCAGGTCCTGCTGCTGCTGCTGCTGTAACTGGTCCTGCTGTTGTAACAGTTTCTGCTGTTGCTGCCACCATTGTTGCTCCTGCACTTGCTGCTCCTGTGTTTGTTCCTGCCCTTGCACCAGCTGCAGTTGTGGTCTCAGCTGCTCAGGGGGCACAGGGTGGGGTGTTCCCTGCAGGTCCTTGTTTTGTTGAGGCAGCTGGCCTTGCCCATCTTGCTGCTGCAATTCTAGCTGCTGTCCTGACGGCTGGCTTTGTGTTTGCTGCTCTGGCTGCAGCTCTAACTGTTGCAGTTGCAACTCCTGCTGTCCGGGCTGTGCTTCCTCGGCGAGCTCCCCGGCCCCCATCGGGGCTGAGCTTGTTGGCCGCGGTGGGCTGCCGTTCTCCTGAGCCTCTTCTTCCTCTTGACTCTCACCCGCACCGCTGCCACCTGTAGTGGAAATGGCAGGAAGCCAGGAGAGAAAGATCTACAGGCAGCTCTCGGGGTCAGGCCCCCACGCCCTCCCCGCTTACCCTGTCCCACGGACAGCCACTCTAGGACACACTGGTGAGCTCTCAGCAGGGACCCAAAAGCACTGGGTCAATTGGCCATGGCAGCGTGGCAGAAACTGAAATGCCCAGAGGTGTGGGGCTGGCTTAGAAATGTGCCCGAAAGACTGCGGGTCGCATCACTCTGGACCCTGGCTCTCCCACCTCTCCTCTGGGCCTTCCTCCACACAGCCTCCATGCTTAGATCTTGGCAGTGACAAGAGTCTGGGTGTCTGGGGCTCCCCAACACCATTCTCCGAGAAGTCTCTGGGACTTAATTACCATCCAGTGGGAATCAGCGAACAAGCCACTCGGACAGCTAAGCCACAAGCCCACGCTGAACTCTGACCTCAGTTAGGGTCACACCTTAAATAAGGGAGAACTTGCCTTCTCTGTAAATAATAAAGAATCTCTGTAAAGCTGCCTGAAGTATTACCACAGGTGGTTTCTAAAAGTCCCTGAAGTGTCAGAGAGAGCACGAGGTTTCCAGCAGGAAGTCCTCAGATCAGGCCCTAATTCTACCACTTAGCTGCTGTCAGCCTCCTACAGCCTCAGAGGCCTCCCTGTCAGTAACAGCCTCAGGATACCCACACCTCCAGCTTCATGGGTGAAGCCTCTAGAATGAGGCAGGTGCTTGACAAATCCCTCTCCCTCTGGGTTAGGAAATTAGTTTGCAAACTGACGGACAGTTTGGAAATACCGAGGACACAACTAGCCCTGTGTGAAACAGCCTCGAGACGGGACGTGTTGGAGACTGTTAGTCTGGAACGGAAAGGACTAACTCCACAGGCCCACGTCAGCACGGTGACCGGCCAGTTAAGTGACCTCTGGGAACCTGAGTTTCCCTGTCTGCAAAAGGAGATCGACCCTTCTCAGGGACACAGCGAGAATTCGAGGGGTACAGGTGCAGCTCAGCGTTGTGCAGGTGTAGAGTAACCCCTGCCACCTATGCGTCACTCCATTGTTACGTGTCACTCTGCACAATAGCCTCGTGTCGTTTCTTGTTTCGAGCATTTATACTGTGTTCTCAGAAAGTCCAAAGAGGCTTGCTCCATTCCCAAGTCCGATTTCAACATTTGTTCTTCCTACTGCCTCATATTTTTCTTTCTTTCTTTCTTTCTTTCTTTCAAGATTTTATTTCTCAGAGAGAGAGAGAGAGAGAGAGAGAGAGCACAAGCAGGGGGAGTGGTAGGCAGAGGGAGAGGCAGGCTCCCTGTGGAGCAAGGAGCCCGATGCGGGACTCGATCCCAGGGCAGACGCTTAACCGACTGAGCCCCCCAGGTGTCCCCAGCCTCATATTTTCAATTTTATAATGGAAAGCAGGGGTTTTATCTATAAAATTTTGCTTTTTGGCCACTTTTCCAGGAGTATATTGATCTAATAAAAGCAAGGGATATCTCCATGTAAATCATTTCCTTTCAGAAAACTATTCCTAATAACGTTTGCTTAGGCTAACGGACAGGTATTTTTCACATACACACTAGCCAGGAGTATGTGCCTGGTGAGCAAAGGCAGCCATGCAAACCTGTCCTCTGTCCCCCAAGCAGGTCTGAGCCACTCCAGCCTCCCGCCACCTCTGAGAGCAGCAGGGACACATCATGCCTCTGTTTGAGTCCTCACATTTCTAGCCCAGCACTTGGCCGTGTGGCCAGTCCTGGCTTCTTGCAGCCACGTCAGCATTTTTAACAATGATGTTTTAGTAAACATTAAGTTCACCTGATGTGTATACGCTTGCAAGGCTTTTCTCGGTCAAATATTTGAGCCGGAAGACCCCTCATTTCATCCACACATCCCCACCCAACCCCTCCAATTTCCTTGGTTCCTTTCATGTTGTTCAACCCTGAGCCAGCCCTCACTTAGTGCCCTCAAAGGACAGAGAGGGAAACTGGCTCCCAGGAGCATGACCACCATTGAAAGTTGGCCCAGAGTGGGTTCCAGAGGGAGAAGGCATCTTGGAAGGTTCTACAGGGCCACATTTGGCTCTGGGCAAAAGGGGAGAAAGATGGATGGAAGCAGAGGTCAGGAAAAGTGGCCAAGGTCAGAGAAGGCCACAGGAAAAAGAGAAGCCAGGGGGCCAATGCCTGGGGCACAAGGGAGAGAGCCCCTGATTTCAATCTGAGAACTTGAGTCTGGAGCCCGGGACAGGTAGGAGGGCAGTGGAGACTACCTGACCACTGGGGACACAGCAGCAGCTCCCAGCCAGCACACATCCGGGGTCCAGGGCATGGGCTGGGAATGTCTGCACTGTCGGGAGCCTGTCACCAGCAAAACCACAGCCTGACGGAGCCGCCTCAGAAAATCCTGAGGCAAACCTGCCAGTGTTACTCCAGGCAGCTGAAGTCAGTTGGCGTGAGTGGTGGCAGCCTGCTCCCCCCGACCCGGAAACCACCAAGTGAGCGCCCTTGCAGACAGCAGGCTGCCCCTCACCCTACACCCCCCTCTCTCTCGGCCACAGCAGGCCTGGGGCTCTGTCAAAAGGTCCTCCAGGGGGCCTGAGGACTATCTCCTGCTTTAGGTCAGAGCCACACCCCTCTCAAGCCCCTCACCTGAGAGGGTGCCAGGCCCTGGGCCCCCATCTTCAAGACACCGAAGCTCCAGCACGAAGGTCTCAGTGGCTGCCCCCAGGTCCATCCTGGCGTTCACACCAAGATCCCGGGGGGGCAGCTGTGCTGAGAGGAATGAGGAAGCTGTTCAGGTGAGCAGGAGTGCTGTGAGCCCCCAGCCCCGTGGCACTGACTGCCAGAGAGCCCTCCATCTCCACCCAGGCTGGAAAGGAGGACGGGTGCAATCCATAGCTGGGGAAGGGAGGTGCAGGGCTGCCTGGAGGCTCAGCTCCCAGGGCCCATTCATTTGCCCCCCCGACCCCCAGAGGCAGACCTTCCTGTCCCAACTTTGCAGGGCCCACACTCAGCCCCAGGCTTAGGGGCTGCTGGTGCATCTGCTCCTCACTGAGAGCCGACATGGGAACCAGCCTTCACTAGGGAGCTGGAGTCCCACAAGGGATGTTTGAGGAAGTTTGCGGGGAAAAGAGAGACACCTCACATTCCACTGCCCCCTTCAAAGCACTGACAAGTGTGTTCACCTCCCTGGTTTCTTGCCTCCCAGAGCGCTGTTGGGGTTCATCCAGCCTTCCAAGGCCACAAGGAGGCCACAGGTTCCAGATGCCACCTCAGCTCCCTAGGAAGGCAGGTTTCCAGAGCACAACCCATGGAACCAGCTCCAGCCCAGGGGCTCCTGAAGTCCGGAAGGTTCCCCACCTCTCTCCTGCATCCGCTCTGGCCCCTGCAGAGGTGTCCCCACATCTAGTCCTGCCTCCCCTCCTAGCAGGATAACTCCAGCTCCCCTTTGCAGAATCCAGTCCAGAAGCCCTCCAGAGAATGGTCCCCCCCCACCCCGCCCCACCTCCCCGGTGGGCCCACCTGGTGCAGCATTTCCTGCTCTTTACAGCGGCCTCTGCGCTAGGGGAGGTGTGGTCAGCAGCGGCGGGAGAGTGCAGGCCGCTGGCTCCTTCCTGAGGCGCCTCCATCCAGAAAGAGCCGGGGAGGCGCTGGGCCACCGGGGGCCTTTCTGGGCACTGCGGCGGGCCTGTCGCTGTCAGGGCTGTCGAGGTTGCCCTGGGCCAAAAAAGGGGCAGAAGGGAGTTCGCGAGCAGAAGTTGGTGTCGGCGGCCCGGGGAGGGGGCTGGGGGCCGGCCGGGGCGGGGGTCCGGCCCGAGGTCCGCTGGTGGGGGGGGGGGGGGGGGGCCCCGTTCGCGGGCCCGGCGGGGGGGGGGGGTGCAGCCCGGGTCCGGCCGGGGTCCGCCGGCGGCCACAGGTGCCCGGAGCCGGCGGGCGGGGAGCGGCCCGCGCCGGGGTCCCGTTGGCTCGCCCGCCCGCCCGAGCGTGTGTCCGGCCGGCAGCGGGCAGCGGGCAGCGGGCGGCGGGCCGGGCCGGGGGCGGGGGCGGCGGGGCCGGCACAGGAAGTCCCCCCGGCATCCGCATCCTGTCCCCCGCCCGCCACCCGCGCGCCCCGCGCCCCGGCCCCCGCGCCGCCGCCGCCGCCGCTCTAGGCCGCCGCGAGCTCGGTGGGCTTAACCCTTCCCCGCCCGGCCGCTCACCCGCGGGGTGGCGACTGTCGCTGCCCCGGGGGCGGGGGGGGGGGTGCGGCGGGCGAGGCTCCCGGCCCGGGCCCTGCCGCTCCCCGGGGGGCCGGTGCAGCCTCGGGGCGCCCCCCTGGCTCGGGTCCAAGCTGTGGTTCATTAGCACTCCGTTGGAGGACACTCACCTAAAGAGGAGGCCCCAATCCGCCCCCCAGCGGACCCAAAAGAGGCCGCTGCCTCCGCCCGTCGAATCCCTCCTCCTGGAGCCTGGGATGGTGAAGGCAGGGCTGGGGGCGGGCGCGGAGTTTGTGCGCGCTTGGACAGTGGGCTGGAACCCCAGAGGACCAGATGGGGCCGTGGGAGCCACCCTCGTTAACTGAAGGGTTAGCCTGGCTCGCTTCCTCTGTGCACAAGGCCTGCGGTCAGGCCCCCGCTCCGCCGCCCCCAACCGCTGCCCTCCCCAGGTCCCCACCCCAGTAGCCATGTGCAGAGGCGTCCCTGGATGGGCCAAGCTGACCCCTGCCTGGGTCAGGGGTCTCCTTCTCAGGGAGGCCTTACCGTGACCATCTTGATATCCCATCACTTTGCTGCACTGTCTGAACCTGGAGAGTTCACATTAAAATTGGGATACTCCAATTCTCTTGAAAAATCCCAAGATCTGGCCTTGGAGAGCTGTTCCTGGGCTAGAGTATGGGAATGCCTCACTGGAGGTGGGCACAGCCCTCATGCGGTCACAGTCCTCTTCTGTCACCGTCTCCATCCTGGTCTGGCTGCCCTGCCTTGTTCCATTTTTTGATACTTCCTGGCCCCACAGGCTGTGGAGTTTAGGACTTCTCCTCTAGCCCTCTGAAAAGCTTGCGCTCTGGCTGGCAGCTTCACCCCCAGACTAGAAGCTCCAGGCGGCAGAGGACTGCCTCTGCCTCTGCCTCATGGGGGGAACCAGGGCAGCAAGAGCCTAGCTCTGGAGGCAGAAAAATCTGGATTCACAATGGCCTCTTCCAGTTGGGTAATGAGGTAAACTATTCCCTTTCATCTGTGGAATAGGGACAGCACTCTGCTAGCCAGGAGTTTAAGGAAAAGCGAGCATCTCCCCTCTGGCCAGCTAGGTGTGCACCTTCCCTCCCCCGGGAGGGCTGGGAACAAAGCTATCTCTGCCTCGTCCTTCCTCCGGGGAGACCTCGTGCCCAGAGGATCCAGAGGATCCACTCACTCCTTGAATCTTTAACTTCTGTCTCTGCTGGCTTCTTTCCAAGAGCATTTGCTCATTCTTCCGGCTCTCCCATCCTAAAAACATGCAACCCCTTCTCTCTCCTGCCCTCGGTGGCCAAACTGCCTAGAAAGATGCCCCATAGCAGTTCTGTCCATATCTCCATCTCCTTGTCCCTCCCCCTTCTCCAACTTGGCCTCGGCCCCATCACCCCACCCAGACAGCTCCCTCCACTGTCACCAGTGACCTCCATGTCACGCAGTCTCATGCTATTCCACCTCTAGGCAGCTTTGGACAGTTCTCCGGTGGCTGATGAGAGGGACCACCCTTGGTTCCCCCTTCCTCTCGGTCTGCCTCCTCTCTGACTCCTTAGCACGTACATTGCTCACCTTTACATCATCAAAACCTGCATAAGGTGTCTTCCCAAATTAACGGTTCTATCCTGGAGAGTATTTTTCCTGTCCATGACCATGACTGAGCACCTCACAAACAACAGCCACCCCTTTTCCTCCTCTTTCTCCCTTTAATTTTTTCTTTTTTTTAAGAAAGAGAGCGAGAGCGAGCAGAGGGCTTGGGGAGGGGCAGAGGGAGAGAAAAAATCCCAAGCAGGCTCCATGCCCAGGGTGGAGCCTGACATGGGACTCAGTATCATGACCCTAAGATCGTGACCTGAACTGCAATCAAGAGTCAGACACTCAACTGACTGAGCCACCCAGGAGCCCCTCTCCCTTTAATTTTTTGTCCAGGCAATATGCATACTGAATTGAATAAGTCAAATTGTTCTACGAGGCTTTAGCAACAACAAAAATCTCTCCTTGCTTCTGAGTCCCGTCCCATTTCTTCTGATATTTTTTTTTGCCATGTTTCTAAATAATACGCTTAATGCTATTATTTGGTTTTTCCATTTTATGTAGTATCTATGGACATCCCACTCTGGAAGATGCAGATTTAACTCTTTAAGCCACACATACACATGTCTTCTTCCTGCCTATAATAATTTGTTCTTTATCCAGTTTTCTGGGATAGAGCTTCTACACCCTTGGAATTTCTCCAGTAATAGGAATGTCTGTTATTCAGGGGGCGAGGGGGCTGGATTAGCTTCAGGATGGGGGCTGGTGATACTAGAAATACCAACCATGTGATTACAGGGTTGGGGCTCTGAGCCAGGTGATATCAACCCAATCTCTGGGGCTAGAGATTGAGGTCAGTCACATGGCCAATGATTCAATCGATCATCCCTATGCAATGAAACACCAATGAAAACTATGGGCACCATGATTCAGGTGAGCTTCCTGGTTGGTGATAGGCTCTCCATGTCCAGAAAGGGGACAGAGAAGCTCTACATTCAGGACTCTTCCTAGACCTTGGATCTCTTCAGGGACCATGGCTGGTCCTGCTTTGTATCCCTTGTAGTAAAACTGTACTCGTAAGTATAGCACTTTCTTGAATTCTGTGAGTTGATCTAGTTAATGATCCGACCTGAGTAGGTCCAAGGAATCCCTGAATTTGTAGCCAGTTGGTCAGAAGTGCCGGGGGCCTGGAGACTCCCAGATTTGCAGATGGTGTCTACGTGGGGGCAGTCTTCCTGGGCGTGATGCCCTTATCTTGTGGAGTCTGTACCAACTCTGGTGGTCAGCTACAGAAGTCCAGGACAGGGCCACACCTCTCCACAGTTTCATCACAGTCAGGGGTAAATCCACATGTACTGTTCCCATGAGCACATCTCTGTATATATTTTTCCCCGCTGAGCCCAGTAAAAGGATTTGTATTAGTTCCGTTCTTTTTTTTTTTTTAAGATTTTATTTATTTGACAGAGAGAGACACAGCGAGAGAGGGAGCACAGCGGAGAGCCCGATGCGGGGCTCGATGCGGGGCTCAATGCGGGGCTCAATGCGGGGCTCGATCCCAGGACCCTGGGATCATGACCTGAGCCAAAGGCAGACGCTTAACCACTGAGCCACCCAGGCGCCCCTATTAGTTCCCTTCTTGTACAACTCTTAGTTCTTCCTAGAATTAATCTCTCCTCCTCTCTTTTTTTTTTCTTTTGAAAATTTGCTTTGATTCAGTCTTAGAATCTCCTGAAAAGTCTTTCTGCATCCTCCTTTGGCTCTCTAAATGCCTGTGAACCCAAATTTCCACCTGGTCAAACATGTCAGAAAATCTGTTTCATTTTGTTTCCAGACATCCTTTCTGGAGCCTCCTTCCTTTGGACCCAAACTGGGCAGTTGGCCCTCTGGAGTGCTGTGTCAGCCTGGGACTCTGGTGTCATCATCTGGGACTCTGTGTCTCTTGCTCTCTCTCTCTCCTGCATCAGTCTGTTTCCTTACATGGCATCTCTCTCCTTCGGAAGTCCTAATAGAGACACTTAGCGCTCACCAAATATTCCAAGTCTCCCTCCTTGGTGCTTCCCATTAGCAGAATCTAGCCAGAGGCCAGCTGGTAAGGGAGCCCGGGGAAATGTCATTTCCCATCTTCCAGCCTCGAGCACTGGAGCATATGGAAGGATGGGGATTGAGTCAAAAGGCAACAGGCAAAGAGCTTGCACATCTGGTGAGGGTAGAGCAAGCCTCCTGCCAGACCATGTTGGAAATGCAGACATTTCTGAGCTAAGGCAAGGATGGGAATGCTGCGTGGCTAGCGTTGATCATCCTGACCTTCATTCCAGGGAGCACGTTCTTCAGTGGTCTTCCTGAGAAAGAGCGTATGGCAAGGAAAATTTGGGGGACACTCATGTCTAAAAAGTTTTTTTTTTTAAAGATTTTATTTATTTATTCATGAGAGACGGAGAGAGAGAGAGAGAGAAGCAGAGGGAGAAGCAGGCTCCCCGCAGAGCAGGGAGCCCGATGCGGGACTCGATCCCAGGACCCTGGGATCACGACCTGAGCCGAAGGCAGACGCTTAACCATCTGAGCCACCCAGGCGCCCACGTCTAAAAAGTTTTTATTTGGGGTGCCTGGGTGGCTCAGTCGGTTGAGCATCTGCCTTTAGCTCAGGTCATTATTCCAGGGTCCTGGGATTGAGCCCCACATCCGGCTCCTTGCTCAGCAGGGAGTCTGCTTCTCCCTCTCCCTCTGCACCTCCCCCTGCTGTGCTCTCTCACTGTCAAATGAATAAATAAAATCTTTAAAAAAAATTAAACGTTTTTATTCTTACATGTGACCGAGCATGGATTCTAGAATGGCAATGGCTTCTCCTCAGATTTTAAAGACACCCTCTCATTGTCTTTTGGCCTCCAGTGTGGCTATCTAGGATGTCCCATGCCATTTTGATACGGGATCCTTTCTGTGTGACTGGTATTCTGCCTCTGGAAGCTTGTAAATCTTTTTTTTTTTTTTTTAACCTGGATTCTGAAGGTCCATGATGACAGGCACTCAGGTAGCCACTTCAGTCAGGAGACTCATGCTTTTATGTTTGAGAAATGAATTTGACTTATTTATTTCATAGTGTCCCCTTCCATTTTCTCTTTTCTGCTTTTCTAGAATTTTGAGTATTCGGATGTTGGACCTTCTGTTCTGATCCTCTAATGTCCATTGTACTTTCTCTTTCATTTTCATCACTTAATCTCTTAGTTACATTTTCCTTTTTTTAAAAAGATGTTATTTATTTATTCATTTATTTATTTAAGAGAGAGAGTGAGGAGAGGAGCAGAGAGAGAGGGACAAGCTGACTCTGCGCTGCGCAAGGAGCCCGTCTGACGTGGGGTTAAGTCCCACGATCCTGAGATCATGCCCTTAGCAGAAATCAAGAGTCTGATGCCCAACTGATGGAGCTGTCAGGCGCCCCTCTTGGTTACGCTTTCTAGAAGAGTCTCTCGTCACGGTCCTCTAACCTTTCTGCTTTTATTTCTGCAAGCCTGTCTTTAATTTCCAGAGCTTTCTTATTCTCAGACTCGGTTTTTTTCTTATACGTTCTCCTGCTGCACGATTGCAATATTTCCTCCTGTCTCCCCAAAG